GATGACGATGCTTATGATGATGATGATGATGCTGCTGCTGCTGATGATGATGATGATGATGATGATGATGATGATGATGATTATGATGATGATGATGATGATGATGATGATGATGATGATGATGATGATGATGATGATGAGGATGAGGATGAGGAGGATGATGATGATGATGACGATGACGATGACGATGACGATGACGATGAGGAGGAGGAGGAGGAGGAGGAGGAGGAGGAGGAAGGCTCCCAACTGAAAGCGGTGACGTAGCACGCGCTTACCAGCAAGGTCCCAACAGCGAGCGGTGACGCAACAAGCTCTTATCCCCAAGGCTCCCAAGAGCGAGCGGCAACGCAAGCATCTCTGGGCACGAGGACTCTGAACAGAGAGCGGTGACGTAACACGCGCTTACCAGCAAGGCTTCCAAGAACGAGCGGTGACGCAGCAAGCTCTTACCACCAAGGCTCCCAAGAGCGGAGGGTGCCATGAGCCACCTCGGGCAGGTTGCTGAAGTGCTCTTTCCGTTTCCGTGCCGGCCCCAGGTGACGGAACGAGCGAGGTACGAGTGATGTACGTTGAGTTGGGGCGAAGCCCTCTAGGGAGGAGTGCAGAGGAGGGGCAAGCCCCGAAAAAGTCGAATGGCCCAGTTCCCTCGTATTCTTCAGGTGAAGCGGCTTCCGGGCGGCTCCCATGGCCCATTCCTTCGTATTTTTGTCGGGTGACGGAAAGAGCGAGGTGCGAGTGATGTACGTTGAGTTGGGGCGAAGCCCTCTAGGGAGGAGTGCAGAGGAGGGGCGAGGCGGGGCCGAAAAGTAATGGAAAGAGCGAGGTACGAGTGATGAACGTTTTGGTGGGGCGAAGCCCTCGAGGGAGGAGGAGGGGCGAGGAGCGCGCACCGCGGACCTAATGGCCAGTTTTCCTTGTAGTTTTTTCAAGTGAAGCGGCTCCCGGGCTGCTCCCGTGGCCCGTTTCTTTGTATTTTTGTAGAGCGACGCGGCCCAAGGGCTCCAAGACGGCCCAACAGGGCCCCAGAACAGCCCCACAGGGCCCCAAGGCGGCCCCAGGAGAGCCTCAGATGGCTTCCAGACGGTCCAAGAGAGCCTCGAGGCGGCTCCAGAGGCTCTCCAGAGGCTCCCGAGACGGCCCCGAGGGGCCAAACACCATATTATTTGTATTAGTTGTTTTGCATGTTGTTGGGGTTCTTCCTTTTTCTGGCCAAGAACGGTCCAAAACGGCCCAAGAGGCTCCAAAGATCGTCTCAAGATGGTCCCAGAGGTTCCCGAAAGGGCTCGAACACACTCCAAGAGGGCCCCAAGACAGCCCCGGAGGAGCCCCGAACGGTCCAAAAGGGCTCCAAGACGGCCCCGGAGGGCTCCAAGACGACTCCAGGAGAGCCCCAAGAAGGCCTAAAGAGGCTATCAAGAGGGCTCCAAGAGGCCCCCGAGAGAGCCCCAAGACGGCCAATGGCCTCCAAGACGCCCCAAGATGGCCCAAAAGGGCTCCAACAAGGCCCATGGGCCCAAAAGGCCTCCCCAAAGGCTCCATAAGGGCCCCCACGAAGACCCCGACGAGGCCTAATAGACAAGCAAGAACACCATGGCTCCCATCAGCGAGCGGTGACGTAACAAGCTCTTGACACCAAGGCTTCCCAGAGCGCGGTGACGTAAAGAGCTCGTGACACCAATGTTCCCAAGAGCGAGCGGCAACGTCACAAGCTCTTCACATCAAGGCTCCCAAGCAGGTGACATAAAGCGCTCGTCACGCCAAGGCTCCCAAGAGCGAGCGGCAATGTAAACATCTCTGAACACCAGGGTTCCCAACAGAGAGTGGTGACGTAACAAGCTCTTCCCATCAAGGCTCCCAAGAGCGAGCGGCAACATGACAATCTCGTGCACACCAAGGCTCACAAGAGCGAACGGTAACGTAAACAACTCTCAACACCAAGGTTCCCAAGGGCGAGCGGCAACGTAAACGTCTCTGAACACCAAGGCTCCCAAGAGCGAGCGGTGACGTAACAAGCTCTTATCACCAAGGCTCCCAAGAGCGAAAAAGGTGCTGTGAGCCCTCTCGGGCAAGGCCCTGGTCCGCCCTTTTCGTTTCCGAGCCGGCCCAGGTAATGGAAAGAGCGAGGTACGAGTGATGAACGTTTTGGTGGGGCGAAGCCTTCGAGGGAGGAGGAGGGGCGAGGAGCGCGCACCGCGGACCTAATGGCCAGTTTTCCTTGTAGTTTTTTCAAGTGAAGCGGCTCCCAGGCTGCTCCCGTGGCCCGTTTCTTTGTATTTTTGTCGAGCGACGCGGCCCAAGGGCTCCAAGACGGCCCAACAGGGCCCCAAAACAGCCCCACAGGGCCCCAAGGCGGCCCCAGGAGAGCCTCAGATGGCCTCCAGACGGTCCAAGAGAGCCTCGAGCGAGACGGCTCCAGAGGCTCTCCACAGGCCTCCGAGACGGCCCCCAGGGGCCAAAAACATTGATTTTTTTACTGTGTTTTATAATGTGTTTGGGGTTC